GCATATAAATGCTTCTTATCTTAGTAGGAATTTACCTACACTTATATTGCACTGTACAAATTGTAATGCCAATCAAAGGTTAAAAAGTCCAATTTTCTTTTACTCTGTTTTCTTATATTAAAGATAAGGTTGAAACAAACTCTTTTCAAAATTTATTTTTCTTTTTTTTAAAAAGTTTAGGAAACCAAATTGATGCTCTAAAATAAAGATATCATTGCACTGCAATGCATCTTATTGTGATTGCTTAACGTAGTGTCTACTTAAAACATACTTGGTCTATTTTTATTAAATTTACCATTAAAAGAAATAAGACTTTTCCTGTTTGACAGATGAGTGAACAGGTTGACACTCAATCAAACAAAGCGCCCAGTTAATTGCTCTGTAGCACAATCTAAGGCGCTTTAATTTCTGTACTGCCTCGCCAGATAGCAGTACTTGTTAAGTGAGATCAACTCACAATACATGTAAGACTAAACTTAACATTGCTAATAAGTGAGTGACTCTCTAGTCTTATATAGTATACAAGCCTGTCATTCTTTAGTTTTGCCTGAACATTTGCATAATCGTTTTGTCTACGTTGTTCAAAGGGGCATAATTTGATTATCGAACTTTGTAAGAAACTTACATTATGCAAAGTTTGCAACTCAGAATTAGCTGCAAGAGAAAATTGTATTTAAAGGGCAACTTTGGAGGGTGGATGGTGGGGAATGTATCTAAAGCATTGACTAGTAAAGTGTTTGTGCTTGTTGAAAAACAAGTAAAACTGCACCACAGGGCACTCTGCTGCAATGCAGTGCAACACATTGTGGTGCCTAGCAAGTTATCCAATCAAAATAAACTTAGTCAATTCGTTGAAATACAATTAAAAATATGATTATCAACCTTCCTTTCTTAGTGTTTTGAATGGAAATTAAGAACAGACTGAATGAAATATTTAATTTAAATTTAACTATTATATATGAATACTTCTCATTCACGCAAATCAAGGAATACTGTCGAAGGACTCTTTCGACAAAGTTATGTATTGATAATTTTTCTTATCGAACGACTAGTTTGGGTATGCGCAAAAAAAAATTCCTTCAATTTTCTTTTTAATTAGTGCCTTGAATATCTTTTTAATAAAATCAAACTAGATGAAATATTCATTAAGGAGGGCTCCTTCGAGAAAGCTATGTGTTGATAATTTTTTTTATCGAACGACTAGTTTGGGTATGCGTAATTCAATTACTGCCCTGAATATGTTTTTAAACAAATCAAATTGCATGAAATATTTATTCACATTTAATTAATATTTGACTCTTCTCTTTCATACAAATCTCAATTAACACTCCAATAAATATTTCATGCAATTTGATTTGTTTAAAAACATATTCAGGGCAGTAATTGAATTACGCATACCCAAACTAGTCGTTCGATAAAAAAAATTATCAACACATAGCTTTCTCGAAGGAGCCCTCCTTAATGAATATTTCATCTAGTTTGATTTTATTAAAAAGATATTCAAGGCACTAATTAAAAAGAAAATTGAAGGAATTTTTTTTTGCGCATACCCAAACTAGTCGTTCGATAAGAAAAATTATCAATACATAACTTTGTCGAAAGAGTCCTTCGACAGTATTTCTTGATTTGCGTGAAAGAGAAGTATTCATATATAATAGTTAAATTTAAATTAAATATTTCATTCAGTCTGTTCTTAATTTCCTTTCAAAACACTAAGAAAGGAAGGTTGATAATCATATTTTTAATTGTATTTCAACGAATTGACTAAGTTTATTTTGATTGGATAACTTGCTAGGCACCACAATGTGTTGCACTGCATTGCAGCAGAGTGCAGTATGGCGCAGTTTTACTTGTTTTTCAACAAGCACAAACATTTTACTAGTCAATGCTTTAGATACATTCCCCACCATCCATCCTCCAAAGTTGCCCTTTAAATACAATTTTCTCTTGCAGCTAATTCTGAGTTGCAAACTTTGCATAATGTAAGTTTCTTACAAAGTTCGATAATCAAATTATGCCCCTTTGAACAACGTAGACAAAACGATTATGCAAATGTTCAGGCAAAACTAAAGAATGACAGGCTTGTATACTATATAAGACTAGAGAGTCACTCACTTATTAGCAATGTTAAGTTTAGTCTTACATGTATTGTGAGTTGATCTCACTTAACAAGTACTGCTATCTGGCGAGGCAGTACAGAAATTAAAGCGCCTTAGATTGTGCTACAGAGCAATTAACTGGGCGCTTTGTTTGATTGAGTGTCAACCTGTTCACTCATCTGTCAAACAGGAAAAGTCTTATTTCTTTTAATGTTAAATTTGATAAAAATAGACCATGTATGTTTTAAGTAGACACTACGTTAAGCAATCACAATGAGATGCATTGCAGTGCAATGATATCTTTATTTTAGAGCATCAATTTGGTTTCCTAAACTTTTTAAAAAAAGAAAAATAAATTTTGAAAAGAGTTTGTTTCAACCTTATCTTTAATATAAGAAAATAGAGTAAAAGAAAATTGGACTTGTTAACCTTTGATTAGCATTACAATTTGTACAGTGCAATATAAGTGTAGGTAAATTCCTACTAAGATAAGAAGCATTTATATGCGTGCAAATAAAAATTAAATGACTCAATGGTCACAGAGGAGTTTATTTCTTCAGTTTATTTTACAATTACTCAAATTAGTCGTTCGATAAAAAATTATCAATACGCAGTTTTGTCGAAAAAATCCTCCGACATATACACATAAGTGCTGGAGACTGTTAATTGAGATTTGTATGAAAGAGAACAGTCACATATTTTAAAATGACATCAATTCAAATAAAAAGTATTTCATCTAGTTTGTTTAAAAAAGATATTCAAAGCACTAATTTAAAAGAAAATTTAAGGAATTATTTTTGTGCATACCCAAACTAGTCGTTCGATAAAAAATTATCAATACTAAGCTTTATCGAAGCAGTCCTTCCACATGCACGTATGTGCTGGAGTGTTAATTGAGATTTGTATGAAAGAGAAGAGTCAAATATTAATTAAATGTGAATAAATATTTCATGCAATTCGATTTGTTTAAAAACATATTCAGGGCAGTAATTGAATTACGCATACCCAAACTAGTCGTTCGATAAAAAAAATTATCAACACATAGCTTTCTCGAAGGAGCCCTCCTTAATGAATATTTCATCTAGTTTGATTTTATTAAAAAGATATTCAAGGCACAAATTAAAAAGAAAATTGAAGGAATTTTTTTTTGCGCATACCCAAACTAGTCGTTCGATAAGAAAAATTATCAATACATAACTTTGTCGAAAGAGTCCTTCGACAGTATTCCTTGATTTGCGTGAAAGAGAAGTATTCATATATAATAGTTAAATTTAAATTAAATATTTCATTCAGTCTGTTCTTAATTTCCTTTCAAAACACTAAGAAAGGCAGGTTGATAATCATATTTTTAATTGTATTTCAACGAATTGACTAAGTTTATTTTGATTGGATAACTTGCTAGGCACCGCAATGTGTTGCACTGCATTGCAGGAGAGTGCAGTATGTGCAGTTTTACTTGTTTTTCAATAAGCACAAACATTTTACTAGTCAATGCTTTAGATACATTCCCCACCATCCACCCTCCAAAGTTGCCCTTTAAATACAATTTTCTCTTGCAGCTAATTCTGAGTTGCAAACTTTGCATAATGTAAGTTTCTTACAAAGTTCGATAATCAAATTATGCCCCTTTGAACAACGTAGACAAAACGATTATGCAAATGTTCAGGCAAAACTAAAGAATGACAGGCTTGTATACTATATAAGACTAGAGAGTCACTCACTTATTAGCAATGTTAAGTTTAGTCTTACATGTATTGTGAGTTGATCTCACTTAACAAGTACTGCTATCTGGCGAGGCAGTACAGAAATTAAAGCGCCTTAGATTGTGCTACAGAGCAATAAACTGGGCGCTTTGTTTGATTGAGTGTCAACCTGTTCACTCATCTGTCAAACAGGAAAAGTCTTATTTCTTTTAATGTTAAATTTGATAAAAATAGACCATGTATGTTTTAAGTAGACACTACGTTAAGCAATCACAATGAGATGCATTGCAGTGCAATGATATCTTTATTTTAGAGCATCAATTTGGTTTCCTAAACTTTTTAAAAAAAGAAAAATAAATTTTGAAAAGAGTTTGTTTCAACCTTATCTTTAATATAAGAAAATAGAGTAAAAGAAAATTGGACTTGTTAACCTTTAATTGCGTGACTTTAAAGTTTTATTTGAAAGACTGTAAACATTTTTGGAGAGTGCAGAGCACATGGTAATAGAGCAATAATTATTATTGCTATTTTTTGTATTCGCCTCAGTTGCGTCTAGGGCATGAATCTACAACTCATGTTCATTAAATAATTGTTTAAAACCGAAAAGGGTTCATGAAGGAATGTGTCCGCCATATTTGATTAGACTGTCGCTATATCTAAGGTCCTCTATATAAAACGTGTGACTTATTCAGTGTTCATTGTCATAAGTCGTCACCGGTAAAGACGGACGTATGCTACACAGCACTCCGGTAACGACAAAAAAAAACTCCTTAGTCCTAATGCAGGAAAGTAAGATAACAAAGAAACCTACATATGTTGCACAGGTCAATGCAGTTTACAAACAAACACACCTAACTGCAATAAAGTGTAAACCAAGATAATGCGAGATAACCAGCTTGAACATGGGTCGCCATTCCAAGCCGATACCCGAGACAGGTGAAACAGATGCGAAAGATACATGTATACCCTGGTATAACAAATGTATATTGGTATAACTAATAACAATTATCAAGTACCATTCGGTATAAACAATTTAGCCTGCACATGTACCTGGATGGCCGTGTTTGTGACGGTACAAATCGGTACATGTATAACCATTTGTTATTATTACAATCACGGATGTTCTGATCTTCTCGATATCAATCGGTATAACCAGTAAAAATTATTAAGTACCTTTCGGTATAATTGTAACATGTACCTGGATGGTCGGGTTCGGTACGGTACCAATCGGTATATCCACTGTTTATTTTCTGCTCAGTTGCAACCCAGTACCAGACAGAGTTGTTCTGAAACTGATCTGATCCCCCGAGCCAAAACATGAAGCTAGCTATAAGATTGGCAATTTAAAAGAACACAGCATACATTTACGGAATTAAAAAACACAAAACTTCAAAAGTCTTGTGAAACATAAAAATATATGGATAATTATATAATTTTACATTACAAATTAAAGCTTTGCTCATTTAAATTGCAACATTTTTTTTCATTTTATAAATTGAATTTAATGATATTGAACAAAATATCTGCCTTTATAGATGTACCAGTAAGCATGTCGATATGTTGAAAAACATTTGACAACCCTACCAAATTAAACTTACCAAATTCATGGTGAAGTCTGTTTTGTAAGAAAGTTTCTTCACTTTGTGATTCAATGGCTACTAAACCATCACCGACAGAACTGCATGTATCCTTAAAATTGAAAAATCAATGACATAATAATGATAATTTTAAAAAAAAATTAATCGTTAAAATTATGAGCAAAATGTAAGTATCTTTATTTTATTTTTTTGCACATGATGGGTGCTAAAATAGTTAAAGGTTTTAATTTTTCAAACATCTTAACAATATATAACAAGTAAGTAATTTTTTCTGGATTTTTTGCACATGGTAGGTGCTTCTCGCTCTTCTCAGTTAATCTATTAAAAAATGCACCTAGCGGTTACTTGATCATCATCTTAATCATAATGTACCTGTAGTTTTATTTATGGAATGAATAAAAACGGACATTACGTCTGTAATAGATATATAGGTTGGTTACCGAGGCCTCACTCCAAGATAGGGTGTCCTTGGAGAATAAATAGCAAGAGTTTTCATGGTGATCCCAACCAGGAGGACATCTTGCAGAAGACTCTGAAATCACGATATAATTTATTTTGCTAAACTTCAAGTTATTGCAAAATCTCATATATGACGTTCTATAATTTTATGATGTCTATGTTTCGTTGCCTTTTTAAAGGCATGCCATGAAGACAACGTTGTTACTTCATATGTGCTTGAGAAATACTTCTAATTAAGAAAGAAAAATTGAGTAAAAGCGAGTAAAAAACTACATGTATAAATAAATTAATGTACTTACATGGTTTAAGTCCGTTAATGTCTGACATTTCATACGCAAAGGCTTATCTTGGCATTAAAATTTGTAAATATTGCACTCACTCTTATATAAACATATTTTTGAAAATTTGAGGTAACTCTAAAATACAGTATTAAATGTGTTTGGTTTGTAGACTTACCATAAACGCTAAGAAAAATCGCTATCACTAAAAGCTTTTGTCGGGCCATTTTCTGTTCGATAAGATCTTCCGCAAAGTCATATATTTATCTCCTTAACCTTATTTTGATATTCAGTGCAACTGAACTGATCTGTTATCAAATATGAGGCTTTATTAAAAATTATTCAGTTTTCAATGTCTTACATTTTGAGACGGTTTGTAAAAGATTTGATTTGTATACAGAAAGTTTGAAACTGGTTTTGGACATGGCATAATTATACAAATCAAATAACAGAAAATGGAAATGCTGAGGTTTGACAATGTGAAACTAGGCATTTGTATAAAGGTGACCTTTAAATCGTCAAAAATTGGATCAGGTGCTATGGAAAAGTGAGCATTCCCTGCCTAAAGGTCATATCATCCGTGTGCTCCTTGTCATACCTAACCTCATATGTCAATCCTTGATTCTCTCTCCTCTTCCAAACGTAACGTTTTTCAAATTAAACCTACATAAAACATATGGAGTAAACAAACAGTATTCATGCTTAAATGTCCATGCACTCAAACAATGCAAATCTGGAATAGGGTAAACACAAACCTTGTCATGATCGGCCAATAACGGACAAATCCGTCAACAATTCATTGTCTTGATAATGGCCTAACTAGTGTATTAAGAAAAAATCAGTCAGCATTCTAATTGGTTTAATAAAAATTATATTTGCTGGCAATGTCATTGTATCAACGAAGGAACTTACAATATGATCACTTTAGACGAAAATGTTGATATTCTTGTTTTTATGAAATTGTTTGTCAAAAACCTACCTCGTTTTAGAAAGCAAATCTCTAACCAATTCAGAAAGCTAAAACATGTTTGTCTGGTTTTATTTGTTGTTGTTTAAATTTGCCTTTATATCGTTTTATCAATCAGTATTTTCAGTTTATAACAATCAAATTTTAATTTTTAACATTTCTGTTATTTAGCCAATGTTACAAAAAAGTATTCGTACATGTATTTTCGTAATTTTATAAAAACACATATGATAACATTTTATTTTCCGTAATTTATTGACATCAAATGGTTATATTTTTCAAATGTTTTCATCATTATGGTATCTGGGTATAATTATATTCCTTTTTTATTGCTGTGAAAAACAAAAGTGTATAAAATATAAAGATCGGATATATGGTTCATAGACCTACATGTATTAGAGAAATTTATGAGTATATGTTCAGATCTGGAGAAACATGAAAAGAATGAAAGATCAACTCTGAGAGCGACCAAGTACAAGATCTTCCGTCAGATGCAAAAACTAAAACAAATATACAAAGACAACAGGATCATAATGCTTCTAATAATGGCAAACAAATGACAATTATCTCGAAATCATGATGCAATAAAATGAGTACTTTTACATATTTTTTTTATTCTCAATATAAAATTATGTAACAGTGTTCAAAGTTTATAAAGGAAAAATAATGTATAATCTTCTCAGACTTCCCTCACTTTCTAGTTTTGATTTCTTCATTAAGAAAATGAGGATGCAGTAAAATTGTCATCAAACTTTAAATGCAGACAAGAGACATTGACGTCATACTGATTTTATTTTTTGTTGTTTTTCCTCCTTAAACTTTTCTAGAAACTCGGTATATTTGCATTCTTTCGGCAATTGCCGTATAATAACCCAAACTTTGTAAAGCTAAATCAAAATTAAAATTTAAGTATTATGAAAAGAATATATTACATAGACTGAAAAAGTAAAACTTCAAATGACAAGTATCAATTCGTTATATGCAAGATAAACACACCAATTTGCCTGCTTCAAATACTTATTTCATTCATTTATAGATCCCCTCCATATTAAGAAGCACCGGTTGTCGGTAGCTAAAGAGGGCTTCAAAACATATGGAATTACAGTTAAACTGCCTTGTAATTGTTTTTTTCCTTTTTTGTAAGTCATCATTCATCTGGGAATCGAAGCCATGAGTTAAATATCTATACAGTATTTTCCTAAACCCCACTCTGCAATAAATTATTGCATAAATGAAATATAAAATTATATGAAAAAACAATATTTTCATTTGCAAGTTATATTTACTGACCAAGAGAAATGTGGCCCGCAAAATACTTTGGGCTTGTGGGATGCAATTTAAAAGTTTCAAGTATGTTAAGTCTTCAATTCCCCCTCCCTAGTATCATTATATATCCGCATGAAAAGTGAGAGATGTATGTGATCTTCATCGAGATTTTCGAAGAACATTGTAATCTTCAAATTTCATATTACATGTAACTCAGTGCTCTATTAAAGGAATTGCATGGCGCACAGTTGTACTTTAACTCCCGTTTCAAATGTTTTTTTTCTGCTGAATTATTTAGAATCTGCTTCCAAGAAATGTTCAGTCTTTTAAACTTGATTGTCCATTTCAACGATACACAGATTGATAATCAATCAAATATGTTCCAAACTCTCGACATTTAAGCACTGAATTGCAACTTCATACTAAACTAAACACGGAAAGATAATAAAACAAAGAAAAGGAAGGATATCTTTGTTCATAATTTGTAGATAATTGAAGTAAATGCATTCAAATGAGTTTTATAGACCATGCGCTGAATCAAATAGCAATTGAAATGTATGAGTTTGAGGGAAGTGAATTTTCGTGTTGTAATTACCTCTAAAAAATCATGAAATGTCACAACAGGCACTGAAGGTAATAAACATTGGAAGTGATGTATCCCTTAACCATATTTGTTAAGTAAACGTATTTAAAGCTTAATCAAGTAACGGAAGAAATCGACGAAAAAAATAAAGATAATTAATATTCTAATATACAATATAATATTTAGGTGTTTTTATAAGATGCTCAATGGGGAATTTCAACGGGGACTACTTGTATCATACTTTAACTATTACATTTTATAGTTTTTTTCTTGAACATAATTGTAAATGCACATATTTTGTGTTGAGACATACATATTTGCAAACATTCTCTCCTTAATTTTACATCTTTCTGCTGTGATTATCGCGAATGAACTCCAATTTTAAAAAAGACAAGGTTGAATAACATTTTAGATGCAAATGACTTACCTCAAGCGCCAATAAAACAAAGTTACATTACAAAACGTATTCAAATTACTAAAAACAGTATGTGTGGGGTAGAGAGCATTGAACGTTAAATAAATATTATGATCAATAATTGACAATTATGATGTTAATAGATTGTACCGATAGAAGCATTAAGTAAACATTTTTCTTTTGACAATGATACCTTATCTTCATGTATCAAGCTTTAGAACATACTCATCTAATTACTTTAAAGTGCAAGAAATAAAACATGTCGATAGTTAATTTTTTATATCAATGATTGTTTTATCAAAAAACAAAAACAAGTAGACAGTAACAAATTGCTTTGAAGCAAAATCTTTGGTTGATAAAATGAACTTTGTGCATGCAGACGCTATTACAATGTTAATTGCGGTATTAAATACAAATGATAATTCAATATTGATGTTTTTCCAAGCTTTCGCGAAAGCGAAGGGACATTAAATCTCATTTCGTCCCCCGCTTTCGGAAAAGCAAGGGGACATTAAATATCATTCGTCCGGCCGTCTGTCAGTCTTTCCGTCCGCCACAAGAACTTTATTCTTGATCATATCTTTTGAAAAAGAAAAGATAGGGCTTTCATATTACACGTGTATATTACCTGTGACAAGACATTTCTAAATATACCATGATTTTTGACCCCATGACCTTGACCTTGTTGTCTACAGGTAATGCCATTTACCCAATCAAGAAAACAGGCACGAAAATTTGCACCATGAGAAACATGAGTCTCAATTAGATTTTATACTGTGGGCAACATAAAAAAAATGATCATAGTACAAATTAACAATTATGAGGGGTTATCAAAAAGTTCGTGGACTGAGGCTATAAAATTTAGTACTATGTAGTCTGAGCTTAATAAATTTTGAAGTAACATAAA